TTTGATTGAAGGCAGTGAGCAATTTTGACTAAAGAGAACACTACAGTTTCTGATCAATTGTCATGTCAAATACCCCTGGCATCCCAGGGTGGTGTGTGGGCACTATCCCTGTCCAGACCTTCAGTGGAAATGCTGGAAAGGCCTCCTGCATAGCCCTGGGTGAGGCACCCTGGAGACCCACTCTGTCTGACAGCAGAGCCTGAGCTGCAAAAGGTCTCAGCCCACTGGGGGCCCCTAGAGCTGGGTGGGACAGTGGCCAGCGGTCAGGGTGACCAGGGAGGAGCAGCAGGAGCCAGTCCAGCAGATGCCACTGCTGGAGTTGGCCCGAGGTCAGGGTCTGAATCTGTATTATTTAATAGCTTGGGGAGCAAACCATGTAAAAAGGCAAAATCCTGCAGAGGCATCTGTGCAGGGCTCTGAAGTGTGCTCGCCCAGGCACAGGCTGGGCCACCACGGCTGAACCAGAGACCTGTGAGTCTGTGCCCCAGCCTTGCAGAGACGCTGTCTGTCACGTCCCCAGGCCCTACCCAGGCTCCCACCCCCACCTACAGGACCTCACAGAACCAGAAGCAGCTTTGGGCACCAGAAGCCAAAAGTAAAGCCCTTTCAAACTCCTTAGTCTGTCTTGAAAGTAAATCACTAAGCTTATTGATAAAGGATGGCAGAAATGAAACAGCTGCGCTTTGAGAAAGAGGTGTTGAGAATGTCAACACCTCTGGTAACAGAAATGATTCAATGGTGCCATTAAACAGTGTCAAGCAGAATACGTTTACGTGCCCTTCACTGTGTAAAAAGCAAAACCTCTCCCTGTCAGGGAGGTGGGCTGTTTTCTATTTCATTTTGCACCACTCATAACTGACTCAAGTCGGTTTCCTGAGAAAATAGAATCGCAGAATTTTTTAACATAGGGGTCCTCGTGGCCTGAAGTCAGTGGTTGAGAGGGCAGCATGATGGAAGCATGAAGCAGGGCAGCCAACCTGGGGTGGAGCTTCCAACCCATCTCATTCTCAGTGGGAAACCACTGGGATGAGCCAACCTCTAAGACTACCATTCATCAGGCACCACAGGGGGTGTCCTCCACAGCAGAGGCATGGCGGGATTTAACCAGAAACCGAGCCGATGCCCCCCATTCCCAGAGTGAAGGGTCAGGCGTGCAGACACCTGGGAGAATGCAGGCGTCAGCCCTGCAACCTAACCACATGGCTGTGACTCAGTATACTGCCTCCCTGCCTTCCTGGGAGCTGGAGGGGTGGGCAAGGAGGGGGCTGCCTGGACAGGAGAGCAGACAGAGGTGTTAGGTCCCTGGGTGAGGCACCCTGGAGACTCTGTGCAGGAGAGGGAGAAACCGTACCACACAAAACAAAACCACTTTACACTTTCCAGATTCCAGGGCTCTTAGCTGCCTGACCGAACGAGGATGGGATGTGGGTGTGTATGTGTGCATGTGGTGTACTAAAGTTGGGTATGTGCACGTGTGTGCCCATGAGTGCTGGTTGCAGATACATGTACTGGGTATGTATGCACTGGGTGTGTGTGTACCAAGTGTGCGTGTCTGTGCTGGGTGTGTATGCACTGGGTGTGTGTGCCTGGGTACATGTGTACTCTGTATGCCTGTGCTGGGGTGTGTGTGCACTGGGTGTGTACTAAGTGTGTGTGTGCTGTGTGTGTATGCACTGGGGGTGTGTGCACTGAGTGTGTGTGTCTGTGCTGGGTGTGTGCACTGGGTTTGTGTTGGGTGTGTCTGTGTTGACTGTGTCTGTGCTGTGTGTGCACTGGGTGTTTGTGTTAGGTGTGTCTGTGCTGGGTGAGTGTGCACTGGGTGCATGTGTGTGCTGGGTGTGGGTGTACTGTGTGTGCCTTAGGTGTGTGTGTCTGTGCTGAGTATGTGTAGACTGAGTGTGGACTGTGTGCATGCTGGGTGCGTGCGCACTGGGTATGTCTGTTCTAGGCGTGTGTGCACTGGGTATGTGTGTCTGTGCTGGGTGTGTGTGCAGTGGGTGTATGTCTGATTGGCATAAATGATTATAGCATACAGCGCTGAGACTCAGAGCTAATACAGTACAAAGACGGCACGGAGTGAGGTTCCCTTCTGTACAGGTCACAGAGGGCTTGGACGAGGGGAGGCTCCTCCTGAGATGGGGGAACTCAGACAGCAGAGGTGTGGGGAAGGCCATGCAGGCACAGGGAACAGCACCAGCAATGACAGCAGCGGCCTGCTGGGCTTGAAAGTAGAGCCAGAGGTGCAGATGGAGAGCCGGATGGGAAGGGTCTGCTAGAGACCTGCTGACAGGCCTAGAGTGTAGATTTTCCTGCGGGGAACCTTGAGTCCAGAAGGTCTTTGAATAGGTGAGTCGCACCACCTGATCTGTGTGTCGGAAAATAAATCAGGAAACTGTGGGGAAAATGGAGCAGAGAGAACACAAGAAGGCTGCCAGCCAAGGTGAAAAGTCACTGGGCAGGAGAGGGACACCAGGGAGGGACAGAGGGAGCGATGCAGGGGACACACTGAAAACAGCCTCACAGCTGGTAACATGCAGAAAGAAGGGCAAGGAGCTTGAGGTGACCAGTCTCATCTCCAGTCCCAGCTCCATCCCCAGTCCTATTTCATCTTCATCTCCAGTCCCCTCTCCACCTCCATTTCCATCTCCAGTCCCCTCTTCATCTCCATCTCCAGTCCCCTTTCCATCTCCATCTCCAGTCCTTTCTCCATCTCCATCTCCAGTCCCCTCTCCATCTCCATCTCCAGTCCCCTCTCCATCTCCAGTTCCCTTTCCATCTCCATCTCCTGTCCCCTCTCCATCTCCATCTCCAGTCCCCTTTCCCTCTCCATCTCCATCTCCAGTCCCCTTTCCCTCTCCATCTCCATCTCCAGTCCCCTTTCCATCTCCATCTCCAGTCCCCTTTCCATCTCCATCTCCATCTCCAGTCCCCTCTCCATCTCCAGTCCCCTCTCCATCTCCATCTCCAGTCCCCTTTCCATCTCCATCTCCATCTCCAGTCCCCTCTCCATCTCCATCTCTAGTCCCTTCTCCATCTCCATCTCCAGTCCCCTCTCCATCTCCATCTCCAGTCCCCTCTCCATCTCCAGTTCCCTTTCCATCTCCATCTCCAGTCCCCTCTCCATCTCCATCTCCAGTCCCCTTTCCCTCTCCATCTCCATCTCCAGTCCCCTTTCCCTCTCCATCTCCATCTCCAGTCCCCTTTCCATCTCCATCTCCATCTCCAGTCCCCTCTCCATCTCCAGTCCCCTCTCCATCTCCATCTCCAGTTCCCTTTCCATCTCCATCTCCAGTCCCCTCTCCATCTCCATCTCCAGTCCCCTCTCCATCTCCAGTTCCCTTTCCATCTCCATCTCCAGTCCCCTCTCCATCTCCATCTCCAGTCCCCTCTCCATCTCCATCTCCAGTCCCCTTTCCCTCTCCATCTCCATCTCCAGTCCCCTTTCCCTCTCCATCTCCATCTCCAGTCCCCTTTCCCTCTCCATCTCCATCTCCAGTCCCCTTTCCATCTCCATCTCCAGTCCCCTTTCCATCTCCATCTCCATCTCCAGTCCCCTCTCCATCTCCAGTCCCCTCTCCATCTCCATCTCTAGTCCCCTTTCCATCTCCATCTCCAGTCCCCTTTCCATCTCCATCTCCATCTCCAGTCCCCTCTCCATCACCAGTCCCCTCTCCATCTCCATCTCTAGTCCCTTCTCCATCTCCAGTCCCCTCTCCATCTCCATCTCCAGTCCCTTCTCCATCTCCATCTCCAGTTCCCTTTCCATCTCCATCTCCTGTCCCCTCTCCATCTCCATCTCCAGTCCCCTCTCCATCTCCATCTCTAGTCCCTTCTCCATCTCCATCTCCAGTCCCCTCTCCATCTCCATCTCCAGTCCCCTCTCCATCTCCATCTCTAGTCCCTTCTCCATCTCCAGTCCCCTCTCCATCTCCATCTCCAGTCCCTTCTCCATCTCCATCTCCAGTCCCCTCTCCATCTCCATCTCCAGTCCCCTCTCCATCTCCATCTCCAGTCCCCTCTCCATCTCCATCTCCAGTCCCCTCTCCATCTCCATCTCCAGTCCCCTCTCCATCTCCAGTCCCATCTCCATCTCTTGACTGCTAAGCTCACCGAGCAGCACAAGTGCATGGGCCCTTCCCAGGTGGGGCAGAAACACAGTCACCCTGGAAGGAACTAGAACACCCATCCAGGTGTGCACACAGTCAGCCTTGGCCACGGAGCAGAGCAAAACAGAATGAAATAGAAAATCCTGCCAGGAAATGCCACTAGTGTTATTTCAGACCGAAACCACAGTGAGTTCTTTAATAAATGCCTTGAAAAACTGCCCCCTCTGAGTGTCACATCAACACCACACCTCCTGACATGAACCTGGAGTGGGAAACAGTGCATGCATTTTTTTAAAGAACAGCGGTATTAAACTCTGGTTTCTCTTCAGGTTGTAAACACCGTTTACCTTTTACTAAAGAATGGCAGGGCGTCTGTATCCCCAATGTCTCTGTCCCTCTTACTCACTGGCAAAAATAAACAACATGTGGAGAGGAAAGTGATTATGAAGCATCAGGACCAACAGCTTCTCACACAATGCCGGAGCATAAAAATGGTTTCTCCTGAACTCTGAAGCATGTTTCTCTCTAACAGAACACAGTGCTACATCTTGCTGATGGCTAATACGCATGGTGACTGTGATGGCCAAGGTACTCCCCCCACCCCGCCGTAAGGATACTTGCTATAAATCAGAGGAAGATCGGTGATCGCTGCACACACATCTATGGGAGCCAGCTCAGAGGCCTCTTCCCCAACATCAATACCGCACCGCCAGCCCAGGCACTATGCAAGGGGCTTCCCACTGCAGCTCAGAAACAAAGGCCCAAGAAAAGGAGCTTCAGGGACAGGAAGATTCCAGTTCTGGTCAGCACCAAGGCTGTCGGAGATTCTTTATGCAAGCACACAGACAACCCAACATTCCTCAGTGTGAAACCAGATCAGACACCAGCACTCACCAGTCTGTGCTTGAGGTGGATGGTGATGAGCGGAGAGCCCGACAGGTTCTGAGACAGCATGGGCAGCGGGGACACCTCCAGGGAAATCAGGTGGCTGGTGGCAAATAGCAGGCAGTCCTGGTGACGCATGGCCTCCGCGATCCTGAAGAAGAGACAGAAATCATTACAAAATGGGAAATACATGGGAGCAGCACACAGCCAGAACCTGGGCTGGGGCCTAACGTTCCGCCCGAAACTTTTGAGACCAAACTCTTCTTTGGATGAAACTTTGATTTCTATCATTCAGCTCCAGCTGCTCTCTTGAAGATATGAAGCTGGTACCTGCAGGCGAGTTCCATTATTCCATGTTTTCACTTGTCACCTGAATTCTCACCTTCAGTACCCACTCTCTTTAAGGTCTGATGCCAAGACCAAGAAGTGAGACAGAGCCCTTGACCTCAAAGAGTTTATAAGAGCAAGATGGCCCAGGGAGGGTAAACAAGCAGAAACAGGGCATGAATCCCAGCAATTCCACTTAAATCAGCTGTGTGACCGTGGACAGGTAACTCACCCTGTCTAAACTTCAGTTTCCCTGATTCTAAGACGGCACAGTGGCCATGTGATGTTTGCCCCACCCAGTATTCGTTCATCAGTTTCCTGATCAAAGCACCTGCATTTCCCTCCAGGTGACCATCCCCTTCCCTACTCACAGCCCACACGGCCTGAAGTTGACTCATCTTGACTCAGGAGGAAGCTCTGGTATCCGAGTCTAGATCAGTCAGTACACTGCAGCCCGCAGGCCATGGGACCATTTAGGAACGACACCCAATCCAGTCAAATCCGAGGAGATGCCACAAGGCGAGGTGGGGGAAGAATGTGGGCTCAAAGATCCTCGTGTCTTCCAGCCAGACTCTCCTCATGCCCTCAAGGCACAAGGCCCTGGGAACAGCTTGCAATCATGATGAAGAAGACTGACTGAGAAGGAAACTGCCAAAAGATGGAGCCCAGTGACATCAATAGGATGCTGGATCAAGCTACTCCTGAAGCCAGCTGCCTGCAGAGCTCTTGGCTTACACGATCCAACAAATTCCCCCTTTGCCTAGTACTGTTTAAGATGGGTTTTCCATCCCTTGCAACCAATCAAAAGAGGCCTAACTTATGCCTACCATGCCTGTCTCGTGGGGTTATGAGCTTGAAAAGATATTCAGGGCTCGGAGGACGGTGAGGGAAGCCAGGCACTTGAAGTGCAAGATTGAAGAAGGTGCTCACACCCAGGCTCTGGTGAATGAGGCACCAAATGACCCGGAGGGTGACTGGCTCCTTTAATTTTGTGCCCTCAGCCCATCTGCCCAATTTGATCCCAGCCCTGCCTGGCACACAGAGGTCACCATGTACCTGTTGCATGAATTTGAATTTGGGGTGACTACACAAAGAAGTGTGAGACACGCAGTCACCAGGCCCCCTGCGGTCACCCAGCCATCTGCTTCTGTGTGGGCCTCCCCTATCTGCCATCCAAAGCACTGACTGACTGAGGAATCTGCAGGTGATGCCCACGGAACACGTCTGAGACATTCCACAGAGCCCTGGAGCTGGGGCACCATCTTTTTCCTCCCTCAATTTGTTTTTCCTTCTACCTAGATTCAAACACCATGTCCAGTGGCCCTGCCTGGGATGGGCGGTGGGGCCCATGGAGCAAAAGCAAACCCCACCCCAACCCCGGCCTCTACACTGTCTCCTTACACTCATCCCTGAACCAGAGCAGACCTCCAAGAAGCATGCAAAATTACTCCTGGAATTGCAAACACAAAGTGTTTACCAAGATGGAGCCATAGGAATGAACACCCTGTCTGCTCCTGCAGCAGCTCCTTCCTGCAGAGCGTCACCAGTTCACAGGGTGTGGAGCAAATCAGGGGCATTGAGTCTCAGACCTGTGAGTAACAACAGACGTGATCGCTCTACCTGGTGATTCCCCTAAGTGACCATGTTACTAATCCAAGTCCACAGTCCAGAGGACACACATGGAATAAAACACAAACTTTAAAAAAAAAAATCGAGAAGGAAGTATCACTCTAGGCCCATGCTTCTCATGCATTTGTTTCATTATAGCCCCTCTGAGGAGGCTTTTTAGACTTTTTTTCTAATAAACTTGCCCAGAAAGTTTTAGTCCCACAGAAATACAGGTTCTGTTTACATACAGAACATACATAAACATTCTGCTCTACAGAACCACAGACCCTTGTAATATCTCAGATGTATCCCCAGAATAACAGCATTCACCTTCTGAGAACATTCATCACGGAGCACGCATAGGGCAGAAAGTGAGGGTGGGCTCGAGGCTGTTGGGACCAAGGCAGAGTCCCACGGCACCAAGGCTGACTCACCAGCAGAACCTCGGTCTCGGTCCTGCCCCACATGTGACTCCAGGGCCCTAAAACGTGCAGGGCGCTTGCTTCAGCCAGGAGCCTGGTTCTCGCTCTCTGTACCCAATGCCCCAATGCTCATGGCCTTTTCCGTAGAGCTCTGTGAACTCAACACTTATGCAATTCCACCAAACATGCTGGAAAAACCAAGTTCCTAGCAACACTTAGGGCTATGCCATTAGCCGGCAACACAGTCACAACCATGGGCTTCGGGCCCTAAACATGCAACATGATTCACCCTCAGCTTTCCCTCTGTGGGCGTTTCCCAACAGCACAACCAGTGGCTGCCATCTCCCTCCCAGACTCGGCTTTCCCTCTGTGGGCGTTTCCCAACAGCACAACCAGTGGCTGCCATCTCCCTCCCAGACTCGGCTTTCCCTCCGTGGACGTTTCCCGACCACGCAACCAGTGGATGCCATCTCCCTCCCAGACTCGGCTTTCCCTCCGTGGACGTTTCCCGACCACGCAACCAGTGGACGCCATCTCCCTCCCAGAACAGAAGCTCCCTTGGGTCCAGATGCTTTCCCATTTGGTTTACTGCTCTCCGAGCTCCTGGAACCACGCCTGACACAGTGGGTGCTCAGCACACATGTGAGTGAGTGAGTGAGTGGATGAATCTACTCACAGGCAGGCAGTGATGACTTAGATCACCTTCTTAGGAAAAGCGTATGGAAAACATTAAGTGAGAACCTTCTATGAACACAAATGATATGAATGCAAATCCAGAGGGGTTTCCTGGATTCCGGGAACACACGGCCTCCGCCAGGCCCAGTTTGATAGCCAGTGTGATGTCAGACATTGGTCAGGTCAAGATGAGAATGGGGCTAGACGCCTTCTTACAAGCACTTTTCCTCTGGTAAAGGTGGGGGCAGAGGCAAAGTAGGGTAGGGCAGGGCGGTGGCAGTACTGGCTTTTCCTCTGCCCGTCATACCCTGTCTCCACCTACCCTGTCCTATGCCGTATGAGCCAGGATCTGGGCTCCCTGCCTTTGTGTGCTAAGTGAACAGGAAGCCCCAGGGAGGTCAAAGGGCATCGGAGCAGACAGTGAGGCCAGGACTCTCGCTTCCCTCAGTCCACTAGGCCACAGTTGCTGCCCAGGGGCCCCTCCATCTTTGCCTGGGCATGGCGCTCTCCCCTGTTTGGCTGCCCTGGGGGAAGCAGCACACCCCCATTCTTGTTCCTAGCCCAGTGACTGTGCTGTCCCCCACAGCCCTCTACTCCTGAGTGCACCTTTGCAAATCCTCCTTCCTTCAACATGCCCCAAGTTACTACCCAGCCCATGGAGCCGCACTGATGGTCAGGCTCTGCGGCCTCACACTGGGCAGCACATGTGAGCCAAAGCCACACTGCTACTCCGCTCTGCCTTCGGTTACATGGAGAGGACTTAATGTCATGTGAGGCTGAAGAGGAATGCTGAAATCTATGGAGACACAGAGACTTCCCAGCATGTGCAGGAGACTGGCTCAGGAACTCAATCCAAAAAACGTCAGAACAAGTGGAGTAAGAAAAGGGGCTGTGATTAGATTTACCTGGAGAGTTATCAAGTCCCCACAGTCACCACGTCACATCGGGGAGTGAACAAACATCACAAATGAAAACACTCCCTGGTAAAGGAACCACTTGATAACTGGCTCCTGCTGACACACAGCTGTGTGCTCATGGAGTCCCCCACCTATCCGTTAAACGCTGCTTCTCACGCACCCTGAGCAGGAGACTTCAAGGCCACCCTAGGAAGACAGTGTGAAGGAAACTCCAAATCTTGTGAACAAGGCAGCACATGGCGGCATCTGTGAGTGTGATCTTGGATGACAGTGAATTCCTGAAGGAGACCTGAGCCCTTGACTAATGCAAACAGCAGAAGGAGAGAGCATGGAGGATGACAGGTGGACTCCTCAGCGCCGATTCTGCCTGGATGATGATGTTCTCTGTATCAACAGTCTTGTAGCAAGGGCCTTTCAGAAAAGGACTGCAACAGCCATTCGTCCTGCCTACGCCAGGAACCCCGCAGCTTTGTACTATGAATAGTCAAACCCACAGGAAATCTGCCAGAAAACAATACAACGAATGTGCTCCACCTACACTTTCAGCTCTTATCATCTGCCAGGTTCACTTTATCCGGCATGGTCACACTCACACTTGACACACACACCATGCACATACATGCAGGCCTACACACATGCACATGTACACACATACATCATACAAATGCACACACATGCAGACACACATTCATCACACATGCACACAGCACACACATGTGTACAACACATGTGCATGCACAACATACACACGAGCACACATGCAAACAGTGCACATGCATGTGTGCACACGTGTAGACACATGTGCACACAGCACATACACACAAGCACACACATGCACAATGCACATGTACCTGAGCACACACGCATAGACACATGTACACACATACATCACACAAATGCACACATATGTAGACACACATACATCACACGCATGCACAGCATACACATGTGCACACAACACACATGTGCACACATAACACATACACACAAGCACACACATGCACAATGCACATGTACCTGTGTGCACGCACACATGTATGTGTGCACACACATACACACGTGTGCACACATAACATGCACATGAGCACACACAATGAACATTCCCCTGTGTACACACACACTCATACACATGCACACATGCACATTTCCTTTTTGCTGAAGCACTAGTGGTGCCTTGGCAGCATCACAGCACACTCCATCTCTACAGGTGTCTCCTAAATATGGAGACCTCCTCCTACATAACCATCAAATGATCACACTCGGAAATTTAACGCGGACCCCACAAGATGCCCTGGTGCACAGCCCAGAGTCAGCTGCACACGCCCCTGCCCACCGTCCGTCACGTCCTCCAGGCTCCGCATCTCAAACCAGGACCATGCATTAGCCCCAACAGCGAACCGCTTCTTCCCCGTCACGTCCTCCAGGCTCCGCATCTCAAACCAGGACCATGCATTAGCCCTCCGGGCTCCGCATCTCAAACCAGGACCATGCATTAGCCCTCCGGGCTCCGCATCTCAAACCAGGACCATGCATTAGCCCTCCGGGCTCCGCATCTCAAACCAGGACCATGCATTAGCCCCAACAGCGAACTGCTTTAGTCTTCCCCATCTGGAACTGCCCAGCCGATTTCCCCTGAACCCAAACCACAGCAGCACCAACATCCCTTGGCTCAGGTGTGCTGAACTGCTTGCTGGTGAGGGGCATCTGGCCATGCATCTGACAGGAGGATGCCGTAAGGGGCATGGCCGTCTCCCCGTGACGTGACAGCAAGAGACATGGCCCACAATGTGTCCCCCATCGATAATGTGAGTGTGGCCACCTGGCTGCAGTTCGGCAGATATCCCCATTGCCAGGCACCCTCCTACCTGGTGACAGCTAGGACTTCTCCTGCTGGCCTGCGCATGCACGGATGGCTTCTGCCTGGATCCGTCACTGCACTGAGGGCTGTGGAACTGTGACCTACTGGTTCCATCGATGCTCTGTGTTACTCCATAGTGACTACGGACAGACACTGAGCCAGGCACCCTCCTACCTGGTGACAGCTAGGACTTCTCCTGCTGGCCTGCGCATGCACGGATGGCTTCTGCCTGGATCCGTCACTGCACTGAGGGCTGTGGAACTGTGACCTACTGGTTCCATCGATGCTCTGTGTTACTCCATAGTGACTACGGACAGACACTGAGCCAGGCACCCTCCTACCTGGTGACAGCTAGGACTTCTCCTGCTGGCCTGCGCATGCACGGATGGCTTCTGCCTGGATCCGTCACTGCACAGAGGGCTGTGGAACTGTGACCTACTGGTTCCATCGATGCTCTGTGTTACTCCATAGTGACTACAGACAGACACTGAGCCAGGTCCACCTCCCCACTCATCACATGTGAGTCCCTCACAGCCTGGGGAGAGGCCCTTCCCTCTACCGGCCATGGCTTCCACCTTCACAGGAGGAATGGGAGCAGGCAAGTCTCGGCCCCGTCCACCTGGAGGAACTGCAGTCCAGGTGCTGGCCAGGCCTAGATCAAGCACCGGTAGAAGCTCAACAGTCTCCATCATTACGGGGCCAGGCAGCAAGCAAGACTCAAAGGACCCTCGAGGTACAGACAGCCTGGCAGGAACCAGCTAAGCCCCACCGGGCCATGGGTGGTCAGATGTCACCCCTGCAGTCATCACAGGGGCCCTGGAATGGTCTGCCTGGGCCTGGTTATGGTAACAAAAGTTTCTCCTGGCCCAGACTCCACCCTTTGTGCACTGAGACTCGTTTACTGACTCAGAGCCTCACCCCCATCCCTGGAGAAGGAATTAAAGGACATCACGGCACCAAAGCATCCTTTTGTCCTCACGACACACAGTGGACATATGAGGATGACAGTGCACAATATGAAGACAAACACGGAGGGAAGCCCACTGCAGGCAGGCAGAAGCCTGGCACATACCCGTGCTGCCAGCATGACCACTGTACTAACCTGCTTCCCATCATTCTGGGATTTGATTACTGCCTCAGAGGCAAAATGGCACAAATGCCCCATCAGCTCACAAAATCACAAAACGCACTTGTGTGTCATGTTTAAGAATACCAAGCACTGCTTACACAATTAACTCATTCAGTCCTCCTGGCCACCCTCAGAAATCAGTGCTATTATCATCCTGTTTGAAGAGAACACAGGCCTCAGGCTCAAGTCATCTGCCCAAGGTCACAGCTAAGGAGGACGCCTGCGGAGGAGGAAGCAGGAGTCTGGGCCTAACTCTATTCTATTAAACAAACACTTTGTCCCCTCCGCTTCTATCCACCTCTTCTGCCACAGGATAGAATGTAACCAAGTCCACAGACCTTACTGGGTGAGCTGTTTGGATTTTTTCTAGGCTGATTTTGACAAGGCATCTTTGCACTAAGTGCTGACCTGAGACCTTCACCTGGGCTGAAGACCCAACTTCACTGTAAATGAAAAACATGTTCCATCGCTGCAAAGCAACTCTGTTTTGGCTTCAGCACATAAATGTGCCGCTGATGAAACTTGTGTGGGGCTGGTGTCAATGCTGACCAACCAGGGGTGACCTGCCTGTATGATTTCCGGGCCCTCAGTTTGCAGGGGGAATTCAGAGTTAGCTACATTGTTCTGGGACACAGTGGCCTGAATCCTGGGGCTCTAGTGTCCTCTCTGAAGACATCTGGGCCTGTGAGGACCGCAGAGAGAGGGTGAACGCTGAGGCCCTGGGGACAGGCGAGACAGACTGTCTTCTGTCTGCAAGGCTGTGGGCTTCTCAGAGCAGGCCCGCCAGCCTCTCCTCTGCCCACCCCTGCCAGCGCTGATCTAATGGAGGATCTGGCAAAGATCTGTAAACTGCAGCTCGTGGGCTGGCTGCCTGATTTGGTAAATAAAGCTGTACTGGAAGACAGCCACTCCCCAGTTCCCTCACATACTGTCTCTGACTGCCTTCACCCTGTGAGGGCAGAGTTCTGGAAAGCCAAAGCAATTTACAAGCTGGCCCTTCATGAAAGAGTTGGCTGACACCTTGCTGGAGTCAGATCCTGGTGGTCACAGTGAACTGCCCCTGAAGTGTGCACCCTGCATCTGGAAGCAGTCCTCTCACCTTTTATAAGTGTGGGCAGTGGCACAGATGCCACTCTCTCATGCAGGTTCTGTCGCAGTGACACCTCGCAAATGCATGTCTCCTACATTTCACCAAAAGGCCAGTTTCATGGTGGAAACTTCAGCAAGAGGGGCCAAGGAAGGGTCAACTTTTCATTCACTATCTTGGAAAGACTTCTCCAAATAACTGAGATGGCATCTTTATGAGGAAAATAGACTGCACTTTCCTTGGACTGTTTTTCTGAAGAATTCTGGAAATCACACATAAAGAGTGGCACTTTATGTGTGATTTCCAGAATTCTTCATTAGAGGAAGTTTCCTTCATTAGAGGAACTTGGTAAGCAGGCAGGCTTTCCCAGAAAAATCTGACCCAGAAGATGGCGGTTCTTCCGGATCACAAAATTACGACTACATTCCTGGGGAAAGAGGCCCACACCCACTACTCATTTCCCTCGCCCTCCCCACCCTCTCCATCCCCCTCGCAGTCCCCCTGCCCTGGTTCTTCCTCTGGGTCCTCAGGACCCAAACCCACATGACCCAATGCTGCAGGAGCCAGCTCTGGTCCTATGCAGGGGCCTGTCTGGAGGAGGCAGGGGACAGACAGAGCAGGTCTAGACAGCATCTTCGGGGTTCCTGGGTCTAGCCATGCCTGAAACCCACCTGCTCCACCCTTCTCAGTCCCCTTAGCCCTCAGCTTCCCGGCCTTCCACTGAAGCTGGTGTGAGACGGCTCTGCCCATCTGTGTGTGTGCCCATGACTGACACAGGTAGGTCTGTTGTCTTTCATCCCACAGCAGCGGAGACTGAGGCTCAGAGAAGCTAAGTCTCTTGCCAAGGTCACATAGCTTGGTCCAGGTGGATTGGGAGGGTCTCCTAGCTGTGCTCCTGACCTCCACTCTGCCAGCTGGGCCCTGGGCCTGCAGTTCCTGAGTGCTCTTCAAAACGCTGCACATTTCCTTGCCTGAGTGGTGAAGTGCCCAGCGCTCACGTCCAGTGTTCTTGGACACGGTGTTGTGCATGGGTGTGACCACGTGTAGGGCGGGCATCCCTGTGGCCAGTCACCCAGCAGACCTACGCACACCCACACCCCTGAGCTGGGCAGCCCCGAGACTCACTTGGTGTGGACAGGCCGGATGTTGTTCAGGTAGTAGTGCATGCTGTGGTACAGAAGACCCACGACAGTGGTCCAGGCTGCAGAGAGAGCAGAACGGCTGGTGCTGTCAGTGCTCCAGGCCACGGGCAGGAGAAACACAAAGCCCCTCACCCCGACATGCATGGTGCCACCCCTCACTCACAAGAACCTTCCGGGGAGAAGGAATTGAGAAGGGCACTCGGGCAGAATTTGCAAGGGCCAAGACTGCAGCAACCCTGCAGTGTGACAGTGGCTCCCTGGTCCGTCCCAAGCCAGCTCCAGACACGCAGAGGCTGAAAGCCCCCAGGGAGAGCCAGGCTCACCCGGGGCATCACACGAATCTCAGAGACCCTGCAGGGAGAAGACCCCTGCAAGCCAACGGGAGGCAGTGCCAGCCTCCAGCCTTGCCCCGTGAGTCTGTCCCATCTGCCCTTGGCATGTGGAGGATTTAGGGCACCACAGAGGCAGAAATGCAGGTTCTCAAGGGGCAGCAGCCACCGGGACGCCTTTATGCCTTCACCTGGCCACACCTCTATTACATCCAGCCATGAAGCAGGATCATGTGCTCTTGCTATTTCACTCCAGGGCTTGGCCACAGCTCTGTTCATGCGGCCCAGAGATGCTGGTAGATAATGGCACCATCCCTGGGCCCTCTCTGCTGATGCTGGCAGAGGTGGAACCGTCCCTGGGCCCTCCCCACTGATGCTATGGTGGAACCGTCTCTGGGCCCTCCCGACTGATGCTATGCATGGTAACATTGCCCCTGGGCCCTCCCCACTGATGCTGTGGATGGTGACACCGTCCCTGGGCCCTCCCCACTGATGCTATGGATGGTGACATTGCCCCTGGGCCCTCCCCACTGATGCTATGGATGGTGACATCGCCCCTGGGCCCTCCCCACTGATGCTATGGATGGTGGCATCACCCCTGGCCCCTCCCCACTGATGCTGTGGATGGTGACATTGCCCCTGGGCCCTCCCCACTGATGCTATGGATAGTGGCATTGCCCCTGGGCCCTCCCCACTGATGCTGTGGATGGTAACATCACCCCTGGGCCCTCCACACTGATGCTGGCAGATGGTGGCACCGTCCCTGGGCCCTCCCCACTGATGCTGTGGATGGTGGCATCACCCCTGGGCCCTTCTTTTGGCTTCTGGGGTAGGGACATCCTGCCTCTGTCCCAGGAGCAGGGCATACCTGATGTTACACTAGGTAAGAACAGGGCAGAGAACGAGTCAGGGCACCTTTCCCACAAACAAACAAGACAGTGGTGCGTGCAGGGGCAGGCTCCCCACTGCAGAGGGAGATGTGTGGTCAGAGCTGTCCTGGTCCCCGTGCCTAAGGCAGAACCCCGGGAAGGTGGCATGGCCTCTGGTCAGGGTGACAAGGGCAATAATCTGAGGCTCTCCCCTGCTTGCCCGAGGCCCCCAGGGAGGAAACAAGAGGGAGACGTCTCTGGAGTCACAGTCCCTTTTCCAGGAACCAGGGAGGGTGGCGGTCACTGTAGCAAAGTGGCCAAGGAAGGCCATCTGGACCCACAGTGCTCCCTGGTCAGAGGCAGAGGTCCCTGAGCCTCATGTTTTATTATGTGACTCGACTTGGGGTTCCTGAATAGGTGAACCCCTCACCTGGCCCACAGCCACATGAGCAGGGAGAGGAGGCAGCCCCATCTTTTTAACTTTGGCTGACCAGGTGTGCGCCGATTTGAGAGGATGTAGGTAGGATGATTCACCAGGCGAGCAGCTGTAAATGCTCCCAGACCCCACCCCAAATTCCAGTTCAGTGGCCTGGAGTGGGCACAGCATTAGCACCACTAAGGAACCTCTCAAGGGCATCCATGAGCACGGCCTGAGGACACGCCTGAGAACACTGCCCAGAGCGTCTCCTGCAGGACAGGACAAGAGGCCTGGGGGAGCGCCGCAGCTCACTGGCACAGTGGACACCACTGAAGCCGGGGACTCTTCAGAAAGACTGTGGGAGCCACTCTGGCAGGGAGTCTGGCGCAGCCACACTCACCGTGGCCGTGGAAGGCCTCGTGGGGAATCTGGATGAAGTTCTGCCCGCAGGCCGGGAAGCGGTAGTGGGAGGAATTCATGGTCTTGGGCAGGACTTTGGCCATGGAAAACTCTGCGGTGGAAGGAGCCAGAGAGAGCAGAAGTCCCGTCAGAGAGCTCACAGGCTGCAGGAAGCCAGACTGCAAAACCCCATCCCATCTGCTTTTGGATTTTAATAGATCAAGCTCCCCATGGGAAGTAGAATTACCTTTAGAAAGCAAGGCCTCAAAAAAAAAAAAAAAAAAAGGAAAAAGAAATCAAGAGCCCAGGCAGGGATTGCCATAGGGAGGCTTAGCATTCTAGCCCGCACACCACGGGGTTCCTCACCTGGAGCAGCCCCACCCAGCACAGCACCCCAGCTCTCAGGGACGATGCAAGGATGGGCCTTGCTCAGCGATGCAGTGACACTGGCTCCTCTCCCAGCGCAGCAGGCGAGGGCAACGTGGCCCCGAGGTGGAGGTCTGGGCCAACAAACTGCACTAAAACTAACCCATGTGGCTTCAGCCCATTTTCCCCAGCTTGGCTCTTGCAGCCAAGTATCAGCATTATAATGAGCTCCAGGTAAAGACTCTGAAAACCAAAAGGCCACCTCTGCCTCTACAATTAGACAACTGTGTGACACGTATCCTGGAGCACAGTTGAGAGCAAGCTGACTCCAGAAACCCGAGGCTGCCCCTTTTATTCCACAGACTCTCACAAGCACTGCTGCTTCTGCCTCCTGCTCTGAACTGAGACCAGCACCCCAAGCCACATCTTCCAAGTCACTGGGAAAAGCTCACTGGCCTTGTGTGCACATCACGGCCGAACTGATCTGACCATAGGTTTTCCTTCCAAATGTGGTTTGCATTGGGCAGCACAGTCAGGGAGACGGAGTGTGGCTCTCCGCTAAGGCTGTGAGGAGGCGGGCAGCAAAATGCCGCCTCCAGCCCCTGCCCCTGCCATGCAGCACACCCTTACAAGTGACAGCTACCTGCCATGGCGGAGGAGCCCTCCACGGTGACCCAGGGCGTGCTGGCGTGCAGGTTGGAGGATATGTGGCCCATGACGGTGTCAATGGTGTCGACGAGACTCAGTACCACGGTGCAGTCCTGCAGCAACACAAGCGCCAGGAGCCGTGAAAACCCACCCACTCAGCAGGCAGGCACACCAAGCACACAAAATCCAGCTTCCCCATGTCAGCCAAGAGGGAGAAAGAAGTCACATGACCGCCATTTTCCATGGATCAGGAGGGGACCACACGGAGGCCCCACACCCGACTGAGCTCACGGAGCCTGGACACAGCCCAGGTGGACCCATCATCCCAGCCATCGTGAGCTTGTGTTTCTACATTTAGACACAGGGACTGAGGGGACCCGACCCCTGGTCCTGCATCCTCCCTGAACTCACAGAGCAGCCTTCGGCACATTCCAGACCCTCCCCCGCCTCCCTGTGCTTCACGAGGAGGAGCTGATCGCCCCAAGGTCCACTCCAGGATGGGGACGCCAGCAGCTCTGCCCCTTCTCCATGAAGGGTAGCTGCTTCCGAGGTGCTGGAACCCCAACTGTCTCCAGCTTCCTTGACTTCCCAGGTGCTCTCCTTCTGCTCCAAGAGCCCTCTTTCCATTCTTAGCTCCAGGGCAGAGGATCCTGGTGGATACTGCCCCCAGGAAAGCAGGGGCCCTCCCAGCCCCCTGAACCTGCAGACAGCCCAGGGCCCAGTTTTCAGAGCTCAGGGTACACATCCGCTCTCAGGCTGACTGCCCTCATCCTCAGACACACGTCACCAGGAGAGACACCTCCTAAGCCCTGCAGAGCTGGTCCACTGAGCTCTGCCTTCACCGCTTCTCTTCTTTCCGCATTTCTGGGGAAGTACCTGTCTACTGCTAAGTCCTCAGCATTCTCCCACAAATGCACACTCCAGGAGAGCCTAATGAGCTGCAAATAGAATGCTGAGGCCAATTTTAGAAATGTTCTTTCAGGCCTGTGACCTGATTTCAATCAGCCAGGCCCAGTTAAGTACAGGGAAGACTGTGTTTCCGGCATGCAGTCCTATGTGGTAGAGACCGGTTCATCTGTTCTCTTCACTATATACTGGACCCTGCCTAAGTCTGGACAGTTTCCTGGTTATTCATATTTTGTGACAGATTTGCAATATTTTGCACTCAAAAGAAGTTAATTTAAAATCATGCACAAAATACGCCTGCCTGGGTCTTCCATCAGCTGTTCTCCAGGTGTTCCCAGCCTGCAGCTTTGGACACTAAGTCCGCCTGACATCATGAAAAAGGTCAGACCTTCTGAAAAGTAATTGGTTTACAGGTAAGACTGTATCCATCTTACATTCTTGAGCCTTTTTTTTCTCCCTTTGCCAATGTTACACCTAACCTCATTCCACTTGAAATTGTTCAAACAAAAGTTTATCAAATGTAAACTACTCTGATGCAATCTTATTAACAACAAGAAAATAAAATGCCACTTCTGCCTCTCAAACTGGCAAACATTTTTAAATACTACCCGGACTTAGGAGAATGAGCACTTTAACATCACACTGGTGTGGTTAGTACCTTCTGGGCCGAGGCAGTTAAGGGTCCTCCTCACCCTTCTCTGCTCCTGCCTGGCAACCTTGGAAGCCACATGTTGACAAGCCAGCACTGGAAGATGGATGGAGCCAGGATCCCCGAGTATCTGGGTGAAAAAGAGGCTCCTCTGACCCACTCTGACTCTGCATGGGGAGAAGTAAATTTCTGCTGTGCTGAGCCACTGAGATGTGTGGATCTGTTACTGCAGCACATCCTGGCTTGGCCTGACTGACAGTGTTGCAGGTGAATACTTAGTATCACCAGAAGTGATATTGACATAATTAAGAAAAAACAAATTAAATCAAATATACAACATGTTTGTTGAATATATACATACCTATATAAGTGAACTGAAAACCAGACTATGGAAATTACAAGAGTGTTAATTTCTTAGGATTTGTTTTAGGATTTGAAGTGATTTTTATCTTATGTTTTTTATTATCTGCATTTTCTAACTTCTCCACAACTATTTACTTGTTTTCTTTTTAAATAAGTACAATCAACAATTTTAGAAATAAGGGAAAAATTATTTCATTCTTCTTTCTAGTTGAGTACAGAGAACAAGAGAAGCTTTTTCTTATACCTTGATCATAAAGTACATAGTCATGTGCTCTCCTTTTCTTACTAAATCCAGTGACTTTTAACGTAAAAAGCTTTTCATTATCATTCAAGAATGATGTGACGGTAACAATATACATATTATATAAAATGACCAAGATGAACCAAATACACATTTCTCATGGGAAAAAAACCATCGTTTCCTTCTTCCGTGTTTAGGACACTAACACATTACTGCTGTATGTGCAACTCTTTTGCCGTAGAGGACAAGGCATTTTGAATCAGTTGCACATCTACTCAAAATGAGCTCTCATATCCCAGATGTCAGGACTGGGAGACACATCATTCTTTTTATGGATGTACGCTGGGCCATATTATGCCACTTTTAGGAAGACAAAATGGTTCCCAAGGCACATACATTTTGAAGATCAAAATGTTCTTTTCTTTTTTTTTTTTTTTTTGAGACAGAGTCTCACTCTGTCACCCAGACTGGAGTGCAGTGACACAATCTCGGCTCACTGCAACCTCTGCCTCCCAATTCAAGCAATTCTCCTGCCTCAGTCTCCCAGGTAGCTGGGATTACAGGCAACGCGCCATCACCACATCCAGCTAATTTTTGTATTTTTAGTAGAGACGGGGTTTCACCATTTTGGCCAGGCTGGTCTCGAACTCCTGACTCAAGTGATCCATCCGCCTTGGCCCCCCAAAGTGTTCGGATTACAGGCATGAGCCACCGCGCCCGGCCATGTTCTTTACTCTTACCTCTGAAACAGCAGTCCAAGCAGGCAGTAGAAGGACCTCTCCCACGGCTTTGAAGAAGGCCTAAAGGTGGACAAAATGACACTGTTCAGCAGCTACCCTTAGGTGCGTTTTCCCTGCGCCTGCGCCTCCCCACGGGTCTCTATCAACCATCAGTTCAGTTTAATGCACAGCAATAAACGGAAACAGCTGAGGCATGTGCCACATTGTATTTTACGAAGCCCTTTTATAGATGTTATCTTATTTGCTCCCTGTGACAGCCCTGAAAAGTCAGTGGCCAACTCTGGAAAGTCAGAACAAACACTGCTCAGTGACGGCAGGAGCCCTAGCACAGCACCTGGGGGACACCACAGGCCCTCGGTGAAAGCCTGTTGAATGGATGAATGGATGGGAAAACCATGGCCTGCTGGATCTGCTTTTCTCAGCATAAGAAACCAAACTGATGTTGAAGCACTCGTGTTAACTGAAAATGACCTCTTTAGAAAGCAGAGGCTACTCGGGCCCTTGGTCAGCTCACCTTAAAACCATGTTTAGTTGGGTTCACTATTATTCTAAGGAAACAATGAAATTAATTTCCACTGTTTCCTCATCAGGAGATTTAAATGAAAACACGTGAATTTTCTACTTCTTTTGAAAAAAGCAGATGCTTGGACACCCCCTAGCCCACATTCCCATAAAACCACAATTAACCACAGCTGAGCAGCTCAGGCTTCATGGCTGTGTCCTCGGCTCCCCGCAGACCCCACCACTCCCCACTGCCTCACACCCTGTCCATTTCACTCATCTGTATTATTCACACAGGCTCTTAACTGTTTGTCTCCAACTATCAGCACCAGAATTAAACTTAGAGGCTGACCAAAATCTCCCACATTTCCACCAAACTGCCATCTCCAGAATATGCTCCTTCTTCCTCACACTCTGAGACACTAAATACTTAGAGAACACATCATCAAAACTCCTGACTCATTCATTCATCTTTATGAGATCAATATTTTTTGAGACCTTAGAGTGCAAGGCCTTAAGAATTAACGAAATAGGAAGCAATCGCCATCCTGTCTTCATTGAGCTGGAGCACGGGCAGCAAACTTCTTAAAGGGTCACATAGGAACGAGGTCATGCCTCACAGGTCATGCCCTGTGTCACAAACACTCAATTCTGCCACGGCAGTGCAAAAGTGGCTGTAGACAATACAGATTTGGACCAAGAGCCATCGTTTGCTGACTCTTGATCCAGAGCAGTCTGTCACACAGAAATATAATATGAGCCACATTTATCATTTTAAATTTTCCAGCAACATATTAAGAAGTAAAAAAAAAAAGGTGAAAATTTTAATGATGTATTTTACTTAGCTCAAAAACCTAAAATATTATCATTTCAATATAGAATCCATATGAAATTACTAACTGGAAATTTCCCTTTTCTTTGCACAAAGTTTTGGAAATCCAGTGTGTATCTCACACTCACAGCACATCTCTAGTTGAAAGAGCCACACAGCTAATCACCACCTCACAGTGCAGTACAGGAAACGACTCCTTGCCATTTTCCTGTCCAGCTGCTAGTGGACAAGTGAGAAGCCAGGACACCACAGAAGCTTGTATAAAGGTGCCGGGTGCGGTGGCTCACACCTGTAATCCCAGCACTTGGGAGGCTAGGAAGGGTGGATCACCTGAGGTCAAGAGTTCAAGATCAGCCTGGGAAACATAGTGAGAGCCCATCTCTACTGAAAAGACAAAAATTAGCTGGGCGTAGTCGTGCATGCCTGTAGTCCCAGCTACTTGGAAGGCTGAGGCAGGAGAATCACTTCAACTCAGGAGGCCAAGGTTGCAGTGAACCAAGAGCATGCCACTGCACTCCAGCCTGGGTGACAGAGCGAGACTCCACCTCAGAAGAAAAAAAAAGAAATTTGTATAATGGATGCCAAAAACTTCTCATTGGGTCAGAGATCAGTGGAGTGTGGGTAAATCTCCATGATTCATCTCCAGGATACCCAGCCACATACCCCAAAACAGGTCTACACCAGGGGTCCCACACGGATGACACACAGGCTGAACCTGCCTCGTCGATGTCTTTTATTTGGTTTGCACGTAATTTCACTTAAGATTTCAGTTCACTGCCCACTTCTTAAAATTGGGAGATTTTCCCCTTTAAAATGCCAGCTATGGGGTTTTCTTGTAGAATCAGCAGCAGTAACCCTAGAGGTTAGGGACAGGTGGCGTTGCGTAGCAGGCTACTGCTGGCCGCAGAGGAGGTGGTGCAGGCGGGCTGCCCTGCCTCTACTTCCCACTCTTGCTCTGTCTGGCCCAAGGCATCCATTTCCTTTAGTCCCTCAAGCCACGTGAGTTTGCAACCTCTGACGCTCAAGTTTAGCTGAGGGGAAGGAGGAAGAAAAGCACCAGAGAGAGTACAAGTGACCGAATTTAAAAACAAGGTGTTTCCTATGTAGACCCGCATTGCCGTGTGTCTTCCAAACCACACAGCCCATGAGGGTACGGAGCTGCCTCAGCCTCCACCCACCTCACTGCACAGACACCATCCCCACCAACACCCCCAGCCCCCACACCTGGGATCTGCAGAGGGCAGCCCTGCCTGGCCTTGTCTGGGCGCTTGCCTGTCTGGCCTTGGCCCCAAGTTCTGCTTGCCTCACTCTGCCCCCGCTTCACTCTTGCCCGCCTGGGCACCACCACCAACTCTTCCCAGAGCCCTGCCAGCCTGGCACTCCCCATCACACTCAGTTCAGGGAGCTGCTGGATGCCGTGGACACAACGACACGGCTAACTGCTGCCACTGCAGCATCAGGTGCAACACAGACCCTTCTAGCCGGTGAAGAACAGATCACAGCCAGGCAAGCAGTGGGCCACAGTGTCTCCGGGCACACCCTTCTAGAAGGTTCTAAGGAGTGACCTTTAGCACCGGCACTCCACAGGCAGCCTTCCAGAGAACTGGACATGGCCCAGGTCACAAACCCCACAAGGACAGGGCAATGCCTGGCATATCCATCACACATCCCCAGCACCAAGCCCAGCATCTGGCAGAAAGCCGAGGCTGCACAATGTACTTAATTAATAAAGCCATCGGTGAACCCACTCATGAGAATGCAACCGTGGCTCATTAAGCCATCCATTTTATAATTAATGAAGCAACCCACCCATAAGTAGGTGTTTAATCAACAATCATCTAATTATTTAATCTCGCCTGGACTCCCTCCTAACCTAGACACCAAGAAACACAGAGGGAGCCTGGACTAAGTGTCTGCTGCACATTCCTGAGGATGCTTCAGGGTACCCACGGCTAGTCGGAGGGGAGGGCGCCCAGGCCCAGAGTGGGTGTTTATTGAGTGCCAACTGTGTACCACAGCTAGTGAGAGGGGAGAGCGTCTGTGCCAGGAATGGGTGTTTATTGAGTGCCAACTGTATACCATGACTGGTTAGCCGGGAGGGCGCCAGCGCCCAAAGTGAGTATTAAGCCCCGACTGCATTCCATAACTATAGGCAGGGCACTAGTCCCCAGAGTGTGGTTGTTTATTAAGTGCTAACTGCACAGAAGGCACCACCTGTCACAGTGACGCCTTATAGCCCAATCACAACAGAAACGAAAGTGTCAGTATTTGTAAAGCACTTACTATATACCAAGCCCTGTCCCAACACCTCACACCTGGTCTTGTGTGTACATGCGTAAGGACCTTCCAGCTTGTCGACATCTGCTTTTTTTTTTAGACGGAGTCTCGCTCTGTCTCCCAGGCTGGAGTGCAGTGGTGCGACCTCGGCTCACTGCAACCTCTGCCTCCCGGTTCAAGTGATTCTCTTGCCTCGGCCTCCCGAGGAGCTGAGACTATGGGTGCACACCACCACGCCTGGCTAATTTTTTGTATTATTTTAGTAGGCACAGGGTTTCACCATGTTTCCCAGGCTGGTCGCAAACCCCTGAGTTCAGGCAATCTGCCCGCCTCAGCCTCCCAAAGCGCTGGGATTACAGGCGTGAGCCACCACGCCACACCTGCTCTTTCCACCTAACACCCGGTGGGCCATTCCCTTCAGAGCCCGGAAGAGCTCCCACACTGGAGCCTTGGCCTTCTGGGAAGAGCTCCCACAAGGAGCCTCGGCCCCACCCTAGAGCTCCTTCATGACTGGCTGAGCCAGGGGCCAATCCCACTCCCCTTGATTAGTGATTGGTCCAGGTATGGTCATGTGACCCAGCTCTGGCCAATGACATGTGAAGGGAACTCTGCAAAGGGAACATGGGGAAGATTTCCCCCTGACAAGGAGGGAGTCTCCTGACCCAGTCTTTCCCTTGTGGACGTGCTAGGGTAAGGCATGGGCGCTGGGAGCCTGCAGCTGGGCAGGAAAAGGAAAGGAGAATTGTAGCGGTGCTGGCCAGTCCCTGCAGTGAGTGAAGACTGAGCTCGTGAATCCTAGGGTTCCCACCTCTGGGCCTCCTGTTGCCTGAAGCAAGCACATGGCCGGAAGTCTAAGTCCACTGAGCAGAGGGCCCTGCTTCTCACAGCCAGAAGCACCTGAGAGATGTGGGCAACCTCACTGTCCCCGTCACAGTGGTCAAGCGGGTGTGCCAAGCTTGAATACTCTGCCCACGGACACCAAGCCAGGAGTGGTGGAGCTGGGGTCAAAGCCAGGTCTCTCTTGAGTCCCGCAGCTCCGTGTGCTTCCCTTTAAAGCCCCTCTCAGACTCTGTGACCTGTCATCACCCCCTCAACCCTGAGTGTCTTGAAAGCAGGGAGCGGCACTTGGTCATCCTGAATCCCCAGAACTTAGCATTTTCTATGAATGAATGAATGAAATCTGAGAAGACTAACTTCTCTTATCTGACAGAAAAGCTGTTGGGAACCTCCCGCCATTCCAAGATGTCTCAGGTCCCTGAACACAAGGCTCTGCATGTGCTTCTTTGGGTGCATCTTCAGCAAGGAAATCACACTTAAAAAGTGCTCACCACTTACCCAGCCCATAGGAACCCATCTGTGCACGGAGGAACCCATTTATCCCCGATGAGGTGGGTGCTGTTATTTCCTCTGCATCTCAGAGGAGCCAAGTGAGGCAGAGATGGTACCTCTCTCACTTGACCAAGGGCACAGAGTAACTGCAGATCAAAGGTCAATGTGGCCATGGGGCTCCATATACCCTACTCCTAACCCATACACTGTGCTTTCAAGCTGAGGCAGTCTCAATACCCATTCTGTCTTTGCATCAGCAAAAATGAGCCCTAGCCCTGAAACAGAAGACAGCAAGGCCATGAGAGCCCACAACCAACCTCTGCCTTCAACTGGAAACGACTTGGAGGAACAAAAAGAGGAAACATCTTGATTTTAATGCCATCAATGTTGCAGTCTCTAAGTGTTTAGATAGCTTTGGGGATTCCTACTGTGCACAGGCTGTGGTCCACGCCCCATGACTCGATCTGCGAGTGAGGCCCCTCCACCTTTTACCTGTTGCCAGAAGGCAACAGAGTTTATTTAGACTAGGAGTTGCCAACCCACATGCCCACAGGAGCCAGGTGGCTGCACAGGGGAGACCAGGCAGGTTGGGCATTGAGAAATCACAGCAAAGGCTCAAGTGCCCCTAAAGGAGGTTCTGCTGAGCTCTACAGAGCTGGCCACAAGGGCCACACCAGCTGTTCCTTCATGGGAAGGCTGAAGCTCAAACTCTGAAGTGAAAGTTCCTGCTGTTTTAAACTCAATGTAGGTCAAACAAAACATGTCTATGGTCCCGGTGACTGTGCTACCCCCGGTCCGCCAGAAACAGACATCAAATAGCCTTACCTTGGTGAGATTCAAGGCCGTCCCCTCCGAGAGGGACTTACTAGGTAAGCTAAGGGATAAATTTTGGAGGTAACTCAGTACAACTCCGGGACTTTGGAAGTTTTCTCTCTCTTCTGTCAGGTTAGTTATGATGGGATGGTAGGCATCTGTGGACGTCTGAAAGAAATTGACAACATGAGTTTCGACTAAGAACTAAAACCAAAATATTATGCAGAAATGTAATGTGTCCTACCTTTTATTATTTTTTTTTTTTCAGACTGAGTCTCACTCTGCTGCCCAGGCTAGGGGGCAGTGGTGCAGTCTCAGCTCACTGCAGCTTCTGCCTCCCAGGTTCAAGCGATTCTGCTTCCTAAGCCTCCCGAGTAGCTAAGAATACAGGCGTGCACCATCATGCCTGGCTAATTTTTGTATTTTTAGTAGAGACAGGGTTTCACCATATTGGCCAGACTAGTCTCGAACTCCAGACCTCAAGTGATCCTCCTGCCTCAGCCTCCCAAAGTGCTGGGATTACAGGAGTGAGCAACTGTGCCTGGATGCTCTTTTTTTATTTATGGAGATGAGGTTTCACTATGCTGCCCAGGCTGGACTCAAGCAGTCCTCCTGCCTCAGTCTCCTGAGCAGCTGGGACTACAGGCACAGCCACCACGCCCAGTTGGTCAAATGTTTTTATACCATGATGGTCATATAGCTCCTACTATGTACCTGACACTTTTGTGAATATTTTGCTTATATTAATATTTCATCCACACAACAACCTTATGAAATAAGTCCCCATTTGATGGATGAAACCAAGCACAGAGAGGCTTACACAAAAATAAGTGGTAGAACTTGGATTTGAACTCAGGTAGATGGGTCCGAGTCTGTGCACTCACTATTGTATTAACTTTCTCAAGAACAGACAGTCCTTTAATTACAAACACTAATTCCAGATGACAATTTTTCTATATGAATAGAGCTTTTCCTCTAACATCAAACAAAAAGAACACAGGGAGAAGCCAAGCAGGGTGGATTCCTCGCTCCCCACTCACATTGCCCACTACCCCATGAACGAGCCCAGCATTTCTCCTTTTGGGCACCTTGGGTTCCTGGTGACAGGAACTGAGAGTTTTTCCTTCAGTCACTCTTAGCACAAAGAACTAGTGCTGCTGTTGGCTTCCCTCCATTTGTTATTTCTTCCCAGACAATGCACTGCTGGTAATAGAGAGCCCAGGCACCTAATGGAATTTTACTTCTCCAAGCAAATAGCCCAAGCAGAAAGATGTCAGCAAGCAGGGGGACAAGGATACACCAGCTCACCATGGGCTTTGCTGTGGGTGTCAGGAGGAGGCTTGGCAATGCTGAAGACAATAGAGCATGCTTTCCTAGAAAAGAAAACGTTGCATTAAGGACTAAAACATGGTCACTTTTTTTCACCCCAGGGAAGACCTGTCCTTATTACAAAACATACTGGCTTCAGACACATGGAAAAGAGTTTGAGAATGTTTTGAGGATGTTGCTGGAGATAAATTATGGGCTAGGAAATCAGCTGAATGATAGACTGTATGGATTTCCCCAGGTCACACTGTTTTCCATTTGTGTTTTAAATTGCTTTTGAACACCCCTCACGCAAGTCAGCATATTAAAAGATGATTTTATACAAGGATTACCAATTTCAAATAAATAAACTGAAATAGATTTCAACTGCATCCAGACTGGTTGGAGATAAAATAAGGAGCACTGCAATTCGCTGGGCCGGCACAGACAGGAGCCCTGGGGGTGTCCTCCTCTGAGATCAATGAAGTGACAAGAGACCCCAGTAAAGTGGTAGAGAAAACTCTTCCTGAGCCCCTTCTAGCGCAAGGATTCCAGTTATTCTCTGCACTCAGATCCCATGGGGTTAATTATGAATAATTACATAAAGACTAAAGATGAAGCCATAAGTTGCTGTTCTCTGTCTGTTCACCCCCAACTACTTCTAATCCTGCTATTTCCTGATGAGAACACAGACTTAACCTGATATCCTACTTCATTTCTGGAAAATCTCTTGAAGCTGCTTTAGATGAGCTGAGGAAATGACATCATCACCCCTTGCTGGCTGCAGGAGTGACTGAGCCCTTGGGTTTGGGTGGGGCTGAGCCGCTGGTGAACGCAGAAGGTGTGACGCTGCAGAGAGAACTGGACCCCAGAACTGCTCTGCTCTCCAAGTCAGAGTGACATTCACTCCTCAGGTGCCAATGAGTTACAGAGGAGTCATGTCCAACTCAAATTTAACTGTGTGTCCAGAAAGCAGAGTGATAGTGAAATCACTCCAGATATCCTGCCCATCCTTGCAAGTGATGACCAGAGACTGGAATGAAAATGAGAATCTGCCAGGTCCCCCATCAGTCCCAGTTCCCATGTGCTGAGTATGTTTCTCGTGTCTAAAGATACACACTTTCAGACTGCACGGCTCTGAACACAGCCTTCTCCTTCCTCCTCTACAGAAAGAGCTGCTGCCCATTCCAGTGCTGGGGGGGGACACCTGACCAGGGTGGCAGATGGTCAGCACTGTGCCTTTGTATCAGCAAAGGCCACCACACCTGGATGGATCCGTCAGTAAACGGTGCCGGCTCTAGCTCATGAGATTAGAGGAGGGTGTCACCTCTGGCCAGGTCACTCAGAAAAAGGCTCCCTCTGGGTACCTACAGTCCCAGCACAGCTTCAAATGCAGACAGATCTTCATGTAAAGAATGAGTTCTACCTACTTTTTTTTATTGCACTTTAGGTTCTGGGGCACATGTGCAGATCATGCAGGATTGTTGCATACGTACATACACGGCAAGGTGCTTTGCTGCCTCCCTCTCCCCATCACCTATATCTGGCATTTCTCCCCACGTTATCCCTCCCTACCTCCCACGGTCCTTCCCCTATCCCCCGCAACAGACCCCAGTGTGTGATGCTCCCCTCCCTGTGTCCATGTGTTCTCATTGTTCAACACCTGCCTATGAGTGAGAACATGCAATGTTTGATTATCTGTTCTTGTGTCAGTTTGCTGAGAATGATGGTTTCCAGATTCATCCATGTCCCTACAAATGACATAAACTCATTGTTTTTTATGGCTGCATAGTATTCTATGGTGTTTATGTGCCACATTTTCCTTGTCCAGTCTATCATCAAGGGGCATTTGGGTTGGTTCCAGGTCTTTGCTATTGTAAACAGTGCCATAATGAACATACGTGTGCATGTGTCTTTATCATAGAATGATTTATAATCCTTTCGGTATATATCCAGTAACGGGATTGCTGGGTCAAATGGAATTTCTATTTCTAGATCCTTGAGGAATCGCCACACAGTCTTCCACAATCGCTAAACTAATTTACACTCCCACCAACACTGTAAAAGTGTTCCTATTTCTCCACATCCTCTCCAGCATCTGTTGTCTCCAGATTTTTTAATGGATTCACTGAGCAGTGGTACATTGGGCCCCACACAGGCCTTCCAGGGACTTCAGGGGTCATTCTCTTATACATGCTTTACATAATATGCCTTGTCTTCAGGACCAGGTCACCAGGTGAGATAGGAATCTGGTAGATCCAGTTCTAGTTCAGGAAGAGCACAGGGTGTGTGCTCTCAGGAACATGTTAATAGAAAGCTCTTCCGAATCCCCCAAAGAATCACATAGCACCCCTCAAACACAGAGGGCCAGGGGTGTTTTGGCAATGAGGGTTTGCTCTGACAAGAACAAGAAACAGAAATAAGGGCACCTCTTTCCTGTGTTACTAAAACAAGTAAACTGTGAGGAGGGCAGGATTTGTCTGAGGCTCTTCATAACATAAATACAAGTGATAACTAATGCAGTAGATTGATCCCTTTTTTTTCCTGAAGGACACTGTATTTTGCCCTTCTGTCAGTGCTGGGAAAGGGAATGCATTCCATTTTCCTTGGTGGAAGCTGGAAGATATAAATGGCAGAGGCTGCAGTGGACACAGGCTGTTTTGCCTGCACAGCATCTATTCCTTCTGAGACCAGCATCCCTGATCATCCTCTGGGAGTCCCCTCTCCTTCACGTGTTCTGGATGAAGCTGACCTCCTGCCATTTCAAGGAGGGTGAAGGTGGGAGACTACGACCCAGGCCTAAGCCAGTCAGCACATTCCGTACACCCAGGCAGAAAATGACTCATGGATCAATATGAGGAGTCTGCCCAGCCCCAACATGGGAGATGGTTAAGAGAAAGGAGCTCCTTCTCTTCTACACAGGCCGCTGAGGTCTAAGCATGCAACCCTAGAGCATGGCAGCCACCTTGGCACCAGGAGCAGGCTAACACAAAAGAGGGCAGGGTCAAATGCTGAGATTCCCACTCACATCAAGTGAGCACTTGGACCAAACCAGTTCTGAAACAAAGTTTCCCCTGGAGCTTCCACTGCAAGAGAGGAAAAAGAAACACATGGCTTTCTTGGCTGAAGTTATTTTGAGTTGGGTTTTCTCTCATGCAATCAATAGAATCCTAACAACTGAGGGACTCGACATCAGAAGCAGCACAAGGGCAGGCAGGAACTCAGGTCTTTCCCTCCTGGTCCTGACCCCCGCTGCGCTGAGTGCCAGTGAAGCAGCAGCCACGTTTGTGAGTGCCTACATGCTGTCATTCTGGTGCATTCACTTGGGGACAAAATGAAAGCAGAACTGGAGGAGAAGCTGAATATCAATTTAAAAGTGGCTAAGAACCACTGGATTCTTGCCATATGCCAGGCATTGTGCTAATGGCTTTACATGCCTTTTCTCATTTTATCATCCCAACACCACCCCCAGAGAGGGTATAGTATTATTTTTATCCATTTTACAGAGCAAACAAAACTGATGTGAGAGATTAAGACAAAAAGGTTATACAGTACCCATTTCCATTTATGTGGAATCTCCAAAATAGGTAAAAACACAAAGTAGATTAGTGTTTGCCAGGATCTGGGAGAGGGAAGATAGGGAGTGACTGGTTATTGGGTCTGGGGTTCCCTTTTGGGAGGATGAAATGTTTCTGAACCAGGTAGAGGTGGCGGTACCAAGTGCTACTGAATTGTTCATTTTTAAATGGTTATGTTATGTTATATGAATTTGACTTCAATTTTTAAAAATGACTTCCCAAAGTCTTACGGTTCATTATGGCACAATGAAGATTTGAACCCCAGTCCACCTACCCACAGGCCCCTGCCCTGAACAACTGCCTTGTGCTGAGTAGGAAGAGGTATCTTTGGGGCTGTCCAAGGGCCCATCAGAGTATAGCCCCTGGGAGGCACACGGTTAACATTTGCTGATCAAAAACACTAATGGACCTGGAATATTTGCTATCCAAAACCTTGGATAACCCTCTGTCACATACACCTTGGTGCCCCAGGATGATCAACAGAACAATATTCATCTCAGAGTCACTCTAGTGACTACCTCAGGGAGCAGGTGTTCTACACACAGCTGTGTTTATAAGGTTCATTAGGACACATCATGCCGGCAGTGCTGATGGCTGGAACGCGAGAGTGGGAGAGGGGAATGCTGGGAAGGGAGGCAGACACCAGGGTGACACCTGGGAACAGACAGCTGATCTGCCCCGCCCCTCACACTCACTGACCAATGGCAGCAGTAAAGTACATGGCGATCTCATCTGGAGTCAGGGCCCGCTCCCAGATGATGAACTCATCAAAAGCGCCATTCTCGTAACACTTGGTCTGGTCCTGCTCAGACCCTATCACGAGGTTGACGTTGGACTCCCCGTAGGCATGAGACACTTTTCCACTCGGGTCAGAGGTGCTCAGGGTCCCGTTGACGTAGACTTTCAGGCCCTCCTGGGATTTCCATGTAAACAGGACATGAGTCCAATAGGGGCCTGGAAAAGAGTGAAGATCGCCATTCTGAGTGCCGTGGTTATGAGCTCCCCGTGCATGGGGTTTTCCTGCTTATAGCTACACCCTTCTTTCTTAAGATGATGAATCACTATCAACTCTGGTGAGTCCTCATACAGGGTCTAGCACAGACCCAACTTTCACCGTCCTTTGGAGCGGAGGAAAGACATGATCCTTTTATCCCCATGCCCTAAATTCCACAAGCAGTTCAAGGAGACTCCTTGTTATTAACATAGTAGTTACCAATGTAAATGTGATTAAAATATCTGAAAAGGAGCAGAGCACAGGTGCCAACCAATCAGACCAGAAGCTCAGTGAAGAATAAAATGGTCAGGAACAAGGCAAGGATGCCTCCTCTTACCACTCCTTTTCAACGCTGAACTCAAAGTCCTAACTAATGCCAACGAGGCAAAGAAGAAAATCCGCACAGACATATTGGGAAGGCTGTAATGACACTATGTGGATTCACAGATGACGTGACTGTCCATGGAGAAAATCCAAAAGCACCAACAGAACTGAAACTTGTTTAGTGAGTGAGCACGGCAGGATTGCAGGCTACAAGGCTAACGTACAAGTCAATGCTCTCTATCTGCCAGCAACAAACAAGTACAATTCACAGTTGTAAAACCTTTCCCGTTGTCATTAGTGCCAAAAAGGAAAAAGAAATACATGTAAATCTAATAATACAGGTATAAGCTATATACGAAGAAAACTATAAAACGGATGAAAGAAATTAAGTAAAAACTAAATAAATGGAGACATATTCCGTATTCATGGATAGAAAGAGTCAATGTTGTGAAGATGTCAGTTCTTCCCAAATTGATCTATATCTTCAACGCAATCCCAACCAAAATCTCATCAAGTTATGTTGTGGATATTGCTAAACTATGGAGAGAGGAGAGAGTCAGAGGGGCCAATACAACATTGAAGGAGGAACAATTTCAATTCCAAGACTTACTATAAAAAGTGACAGTAGTCAAGATGGTGCGGCATTCTGTGGGACAGAACACACAGTCCAGAGATAGACCGACAAAAATACAGTCAACCAATCCGTGACAAACGGGAAAAGGCAGTACAACAAACAAAGAGTCTTTTAAATGAAGTAATTCAAAATGGACTACAGGTCTAATACAAAATGAAAACTAAAAACCACCAGAAGACAACAGAGGAAAAACATCTAGATGACCTTGGGTTTAGTGATGGCCACAGCACAATCTGTGACAGCAGTAACTGACAAGATGGACTTCATTACAACTAAAAAATTCTGCTCTGTGAAAGATGCTGTCAAGACAATGAGAAGACAAGCCACAGATAGGAAGAAAATATCTGCAAAAGACATGATAAAGGACTATTATCTAAAATAGACACAAAAAACTCTTACAATTCAACAATAAGAAAACAAAATCCGCATTTTGGGGAGGCTGAGATGGGAGGATTGCTTGAAACCAGGAGCTTGAGACCAGCCTGGGCAACCAAGCAAGGCCTCACCTGTACGAAAACTTTTAAAAACTATCCCAGCTACTTGGGCAACTGAGGTGGGAGGATCCCCTAAATCCAGGAGATAAGGGCTGCAGTAAGCTATGATTCTACCACTGTACTCCAGCCTGGATGGCAGACCCTGTCAGAAAGGAGGGGAGGAGTGGGGAGGACCCAGCAGGGCAGGGCAGGGGAGGGGAGGGGAAGGGAGGGGAGGGGAGGGCAAGGCAGGGCAGGGCAGGGCAGGGCAGGGCAGGGCAGGGCAGGGCAGAGCAGGGCAGAGCAGGGCAGAGCAGGGCAGAGCAGGGCAGGGCAAGGGAGGGGAGGGTGAGGGGAGGGGAGAGGAGGGGAGGGGAGGAGGAGAGGAGGGAGGGGAGGGAGGGAAGGGAGGGGAGGGGAGGGGAGGGGAGGGGAGGGGAGGGGAGGGGAGGGGAGGGGAGGGGAGGGGAGGGGAGGGGAGGGGAGGGGAGGGGAGGGGAGGGGAGGGGAGGCAATCCCATTTTTAAAATGGGCAAAAAAAGATCTACCTCACCAACCCATACAATATACAGCAACAAGAGTAAATGCTAATGTGAACAATGGACTTGGGGGTGACAATGATGTGTCACTGCAGGTTCATCAAATGTAACAAATGGACACTCTGGTGGGGGAAATGTCCATAGTGAGGGTGTTTGTGCATGTGTGGAGGTGGAGGGTAATGGGAATTCTCTGAACTATGCACTCAATTTTCTGTGAATTTAAAACTGTTCTAAAAAAACAGTAACAGCAATACAGGCATTCCGTGGCGCCCACACACCCAGTCTGCAGAGGCCAAGAAGGGGGTAAGCACAGCAACTGGCTTTTCCTGAGGACGCGGCTTCTGTGCTGACTGCAGTGAACAAGAGTGTGAAGGGTGGCTGCCCCATCACCAGGAGGCAGCCCCTACTCGCCCCCACCTATCAGTAACACGGGAGACGCAGACCCTGCCTTGCCAGTCTTTTTACTGCCAAGAGAAATCGGAAAATCTTAATTTTAAAATAAAATCATAACTAATGATCATAAATCATTCCAAATTTTTTTTTACAAACGCAGCCTAGGCAATCACAATATAGGACCTTAAAACCCATATAAAGACCCAACTCAGCCCACAGGCCATTGGCATCAACCTCTGTTCGAAGCTAGGGCGTTATGATGTTAACCACCATGGCAGTGCCTTGCTGGGCAAGATCAATCTCCCCGCTCATTCAGGAACCTCCATCAACCAGCTTTTGTGTTACTCTTCTCTCTGGCAAAAGAAACACACCCTCAACAAGAATAGTCATGATATTTTGACTGTCGATTCCCCCACAAAGGATCCCCTTTGTTCTGACAGTGTTCGTGGTAAGCCGTCCTCCTGAGCTTGCTGCTGGAAAGAACAGGGCAGCCCTTTTAAAGGACACACATCACCTCCAGCCAGCCCTGCATCATAGATCACCCAGAATGACATCAGGGCTTCTTGCTCAAGATTGTGCAACTTTCTGATAATTCTGAGTCTCTGGAGAACGCTTGGATCGTGGGTCAGTCCAAAGTATTATTGCCCCTGAGTTTGAAAGCAAGAATAACAAACACCTTCAATGCACAAAGGAAAAGATATTGCCAGCCAGAAGTGTTTCTCATTCTCGCCCTTTCCCTGGGTGGAAAAGCAGCCAGGGTTGAGCATACTTCACCTTAAAGCATGTTCAAGGTCAAAGAACCTAATGAGTGCCTGAAACCATGTTCCATCAGCCCCAGGAGCACAGAGATAAGACACTTACAATCAGAACTCTGATAGCAAGTGGAACAGGAGGGTCACGGACAAGGTTCAGATGGTTCTGTGTCAGAGTAGGGAGGCAGAGATTATTTCTGACCTTAGGGATCACAGATGGGAAATTCTAAGTAGATGTTTGCTGAACTGCCCCCACTAAGCTGGTCCGAGCACACCGAGCGCCTTCCAGACTCTCTGTGCCAGGCTTTATGCAGAGCAACCCGCTTAGTTCTCACAGTCACCCTGTGATGTGACTCTGCTATACTGTCATATTATGAATGAGGAAACTGAGGCACGGAGCAGTTAGGGAAGGTGCCCAGATTCACACAACTACCAGCATACAGAGGCAGTATTTGATCCAGGCTGTTTGGCTCCAGAGTTCACGCTTTTTAATAACTGGGCAATGCAGCCTCCAGAGCCAGAAAATGGATTCCCCTTAAATATGTCAAAGATGTTCCCTACTGAAGGAAACCATCCTAGGCTTTTGTGCTGCCCCCTCCACCTCTGCCCTTCCCCTGCTGGGCTCCAGTCCTATCCGCCCCCACCCCATGCCACCCTGAGTTCTTCTGCGTCCCCAGCCACCTGCTTCCCTTTTCCAGCTTCCACTTCAGACCTTCATTGGCCTCCTGCCTCACATCTGTGTCTCAACACCCACCCGTACCAGGAGGCAGCGGCATCCCTGGGCTCCTTGGGCTGCGCTGGCGCCAATGCTGTCACTTACCTGGGGGGCTGAAGGAGGCCTCCCATGTCTTGGAATTGTCCCGTGTGTACAGCTCCACGGAGCCTCTGCCGTTGCTGGAGCAGACCTTGAACCCATTCGAGATGACCTGTCCCCCATACGCAGAGGAGACTGGTCTAGACTGTTCTCCTTGCGTCTTCCAGAAAAAGGAAAATGTGACCCCTGAGGAGAGGAAAGTCAAAAGATCAGTTATTCACAGAGGGCAGGGGACCTGACTTCTCAGAAGCACATGGTTCTCTTGGCTTTTTATTTTTATTATTTATTTATTTTTGAGACAGAATCTCTGTCTTCAGGCGCCAGGTTGGAGTGCGGTGGCACGATCTCGGCTCACTGCAACCTCCGCCTCCTGGGTTCAAGCAATTCTCCTGCCTCAGCCTCCCACGTAGCTGGGACTACAGGCACGCACCACCACGCCCAGCTAATTTTTTTTGTGTATTTTTAGTAGAGATGGGTTTTACCATGTTGGCGAGGATGGTCTCAATCTCCTGACCTCGTGATCCTCCCACCTTGGCCTCCCAAAGTGCTGCGATTACAGGCGTGAGCCACCGCGCCCGGCCTGCTTTTTATTTTTCATTCGGAAAGCATTTTGTCCCCCTTCTTAAGACAGTGTATGTTCAGTTCAGAAAAGCCAGACAGTAATATTTGCTCGTGTTTATTAAGGTCTCACACAGCGCCAGGCACTTTTCTAGGACTTTTAAATGAATTTAAAAAGTACAAAAACCTTGCTTCATCCCCCTTATACAGATAAGGAACTGAGACTAGTTCACTCAAGGTCACCAGTGACTGATGAAGATCGCTGCAGCCCCAGGCAGTCCCACCCAGGAGCGTGCAACTGTGAAGACCTAAACCCTCAGGTCTCTCTCCTGTTCCTCCAGAAATGTGGTTAGGGTAGCTCCTTCCTAACTCTTCCAGAAATAGATTTTACAAAGACATGAAGCATCTCATGCATACTGGTTTAGAAACAACAGTTCTATAAAGTTTGCTCCGCCATGAACTTCCTCCAATGTCTATAAATACACTTTCACTTTGTCATTTTTATGTCTGTGCAGCGCTGCATTCTAAACAGGCATCACGGTCTTTTTCTAAAGCAACAACACCCTGTTGCTGGAAATCTTAAGGTTTTCTTCCCTTTTTTGAAGAAATTTTCCAACAGAACTTGAAGCAAATGTTTTTGCATACGTCAGATTATATGCCTTTAGGGTACACTCCCAAGAGGGGATTTCTTGCCAAAGGGAAGCACGCTTTGAAGGTTTTTGATATCTTCAATGTTCATTTCCGACAGTTGAATCCAGAGAGGCCAGCAGCTGAAGCCTTTGTCAAGACCCCAGTCTGCACATTTGTGGTCGGTCCTGACCCCGGGGCCCCATGCTTCCATGCTTCGGGGAGGAGGGGTTCCACGTGGACTAAATGGCCTCAGCAATGCAGATTAGCATGAACGAGCTGGCTCATTAGTTCATGCTGCCTCTGCCACCAGAAGCAAACAGAACATCCCTCAAATCTGCTGTGGCGGTATATTACGGTGTATTATGACAGACATTATACCTTTGTGGGTTCAAAGTCCTACTATGACCAATGTAAACATGGAAAAACTGTCATTTTTATGATCCTGATGTGCGATTTCTCCATCTTTTTACAATAAAAGGAGCTGCAGACCAGGCGCCGTGCCTCACCCCTGTAAACCCAGCACTTTGGGAGGCCAAGGCGGGCGGATCACCTGAGGTCACGACCAGCCTGGCCAACATAATGAAACCCCATCTCTACTAAAAATACAAAAATTAGCCGGCTGTGGTGGCATGCATCTCCCAGCTACTCAGGAGGTTGAGGCAGGAGAATGGTTTGAACCCAGGAGGTGGAGGTCTCAGTGAGCTGAGATCATGCCACTGTACTCCATCCTGAGTGACAGAACAAGACTCCATCTCAAGAAAAAAAAGAGGAAGCACAGAAGCCCAGTCCTCCTACCCGTCCTGCACTCACGTCCGCTGGTCTGGGGGCCAGGCTCCCTGCTGAAGGGGCAGTCGGGCAGGGCCTGGCTGGAGGCTCCGTGGAGCTTGGGCCTCTCTGGCGTTGCAATTTGAAGCTCTGCGCAGTTGTCTCTATTCCACTTCTCTGCCTCAGTAGCATCGGCCCACCTGGCCTTTGTGTGTAAGCGTGTGTGTGTGTGTGTGTGTGTGTGTGTGTGTGTGATGCTAGCTGCCTGCCTGGACTCTGCCTGTGATGGCTGGAAATACATCCAGCTGTCTCACCACCACCAAGCCCAGCCCCGGCACCTTGGTAAGAGGGCTCAATGGTGTTGAGAGAGCACACATGCCCGGTACTGGTCCAAACAGGCTCATGATAGGATGGTGAGCAGTGGAGAGAGGCAGAGGGATATCTGTCCTGGGCCTTATTTCTATAAATGGTGCCAAATTTATAGATTTTAGCCCTTACCTTGAAATAAGGTTATGGGCACAGTCTTACTGAGTCACTGAATTCAAAGAAGACATTTGTCATCCGTGTATAAGGCAGTGTCTCATTGCCAACCGTCCTTTCTGTGATGCCTTATGAACTAACATATCTGTTAGAAGTCCTTCAAATGTCGTGTGACAATATATCATGACAATTACCTCTTCATGGGTTCAAAGCCTTCGTAGGAATGAAAAACACACCATAAATTTTATAACCTTGGTATGGAATTTCTCAACTTTATTTTTTTTAAAGAAGAAGAACCTAAAAAAAAAACTGGAAGGGTCTGGACCTTTGTGGAGCCCTGAGAGGCTCCAGAGTACAGCTCCAAGTCCTATGGGGTCTATCCTTAGGGCTACTGGGATAAGCAAAAAGCCCTCACAAGTGTCCAGTGATGAGGGTCACCGTGGAAGTGTGTGACTGTGGGGGCAGCCCAGAGGCCGAGGGCAGCTAACGGTGGTGTCCCGGGACCTGGCCAGTGCCGCCCCCAAAACTCACCTTATGAGTGGGCTCCCTGCAATATCCACCTTGTGCTCTCAGGGCACAGAGGCCAGGACAAACCCCAAGCCTCTGCCACTTCTCTCCACACTCAGGCAACCCGTTTCACAAGGAAGTGAGCACAGCGCATTGTGAAATTTTGTTATGAAACAAATTCCCAATAGGATTCATGAAAGTTAATTTTTTCCAAAAACTTTGCTGCATTTTAAAATTCCTTTCACTCAATTCAAAATGAGCCTGTCTTGGCCAAATGCCTTTCTGTTCAGGAAGAAAAATAAAAATTAAAAAATTCCATGTGGTGTTAGGTAAGGGTAGATAGAAGGCCATCCGCGGTGCCTGTAACCAAGCTTCTCACTTTAGTTAACTCAGCCCACCAAACGATGGCTTCCGCCTGAGCAACAGCTTACATTTAACTATCAATCCATGTCTTCATGGACTCATAAATTCACAATGTGCCTTCAGTCTGAGCCTTTTAAGGAACTTGGCCTCACGGAGTTGGGTCATCAATGCAAACAAGGAAAATGCTGAAGGAAAAAGAAATAATCATAATATTGACAAACTAATTTGATGACTTTTTTCTTGTTATGAGCATTGAATCCTAAAATGTCCAAAAAATAAAATGAGGAAAGATCTTTCTCCACAAGATGAAAAAAAGGAAAAATCAAAGTCTAGAAGTCATAACACTAATAAATTTGAGTGCATAAATACAATATTCTGAAGGCAAAAAAAAATTTACCATAACAAACTCGAAGACAACCATCTAGGAAAAAAATATGTGTCATAGATTTAACAAATGAGAAGTTAATTCCCTTCATATGTGAAGACTGCTACATTAAAAAAAAGGATGATTTCTAGCAGGTAATGAGAACTTATATGGGCCGAGGCTAACTCTTCCCAACAACCTATGTATTAGGGGTCACTATTGTCCCCATTTCACAGGGGAGAAAACTGAAGTGCAGAGAGGTTAGGTAACTTGACCAAGGCCACACAGCTGGCCTGTGTCAAGTCAGGACTTGAACCCAGGCCGCCTGGATCTGGAGTCAGCATTTGTGATTGCTGTGCTGTGACTGCTGCACTGCTCTTCCCAGGCCCACAGACCAGCACGGTGCAAGAGCACTCAACACACGACAAAGCAGCAACGGCCCAGGAGGGCACAACCTTCTGCAGGCATGTGGGCCCGCCCGGCGTCCATGCCCCCATGCCAGTCACCACAGCCCACACACCCAAGGCTGACTCGGGCTGGGCCGATCACAATTGCCAGGATTGGCCCAGGCATGGGCAAGCTCAGCTGGCAAAACCAGAACTTGGAGCTTCTGAGCGGATGCTGCTTGCACACCAGGAAAGCAGCCTTGAGAATAGAACCAGAGCAAGGCAGGGACAGTAGCTGATGGCCACTGAGCACCTGGACAGCCTGTGGCCCACTGCATTTCCCAAAGAGCTAGCTGTGACTGAGAACAGAGCCAGAGCTAGGCAGGGACAGTATCTGATGGCCATTGAGCACCCAGACCAGCCTGTAGCCCACGGCATTTCCCAAACAGCCATGACATTGCACCTCCCACAGGCTTCCATGTGAGACTCAGAGCCCATTTCCAGCTGCATGGCTTTGCCCCTTGCTGGTCCTGTGCCAGGTGTGACCTGGAGAAGACAATTGTTTGCATATTGAGTCTTTAAAATTCTCACTCCTCCCCCACCCCAAAGACCCACTTTAATCGCTTCTGAAATGCCTGGGGCTGTGGACCACTCACTTTCCCCATGGGAATAAGAAATTTTTCTCTTTCCCCTTTCCCTGCTCCTCCAAGAAAGCCACATGCAGGCCATCCTGGGGAATGGCCACTGCCTTCAGCTGCAGCAAGGGACAGCAGAGTCCTGCAGGCTGAGGACATCTGGAAAAGGCTGGCCCTGCCTAAGGGGGAGGGTCACTCCTTACCCGTGACTGGCTGCTGCCAGTAGGGTGCAGGGGAGGAATTCTGATACTTTAAGAGAAGTTAGAAGTATAGGTCTTTAAATAAAACTTTCCCATATATAAAATTTGAACTTTTTGAGACAGGCTGGAGGGCAGTAGTGCAATCATGGCTCACTGCAGGGTTGACCTTCTGGGCTCAAGTGTTCCTTCCGCTTCGGCCTCCTGAGTAGCTGGGACCACAGGTGCACACCAGCATGCCCTGGTAATGTTTTTTTCTTGAGACACAGTGTCACTTTGTGTGGCGTGATCTCAGCTCCCT